CCCCTGACCCCCAAAGGTCAATGTTGAACATAACTTGATTGAATTTGCGTTTCCAGGGTTTGATTTGTTTCGTCCATTCGCCGAAACATTCTTGCAAGACCTCTAACATTGAGCTTTGGGGTAGAAGGGGTCCTCGTGGTTGAAAGGGTTTGAATATTTCGTCCATCTACGGTAGGGGCTCCTGGCCTTGCTACTAGGAGCAAGGACGCTACTAGGGGCTCCTGGCCTTGCTACTAGGAGCAAGGACGCTACTAGGAGCTCCGGGCCTTACTACTATTAGGAGCAAGGACGTTACTAGTATTAATAAGGGCATTGGAGCACTGAGACCCCCCCCTTTTGAGCCGCTTTGGCGTTCAGGGTCGCCGCGACGTGCTAGACTTGAGCTTGCAGGCTGGGAGTAAATGCGGTAAATGGCAAGTGCGGGAGACGCATCAAATCTTAAAAAAACATCAAAAAATAAACAAAAATGCATCAAAATAAAAATATAAATACATCAACAAAAAACATAGAAAGAACCGAGCAAAGGAAGAAAGGAAGGAAGGAAGGAACAAAGCAAGAAAGGAAGGAAGGAATGAAGCAAGAAAGGAAGAGGGAGGAAGGAAGGAAGGAAGGAAGGCTGTGAAATTGAAATGCGATGTTGCAAAACTTTGCCCAGATGCCCAGCGCAGAGACCATTGCAGTTATCAAAGGAAGATTCATTGGGGAAACTCCATGATATCTGTTTTTTGGTCGTGCCAAGTTACATTGCGGGGGAGCAGCCCCTCCCCCGCACCCCCTCCCGCTTTTAATTGTTGAGCGTTTTCATTTCATTCATTTCATTCGTTCATTGACTCGTTCATTCTTTCTTCCTACTTTCTGTCATGTTCATTTTCCTTTCGTGTGATTTTCCTGTGTGTTTGATTGTTTCTTCGATCACTGCTTCGAATGGAATATTGCTCTTCCCTCTGCACGTTTGGGTGCGAGAATTTGTTTTTTCTTGATCACACTGAAATATACGTTTTTTCTTTTGTTTTTTGTTGATCCCCCGCCCATCAATGGAATATTGCTCTTCCCTTTGCACGTTTGGGTGCGTTTACGTATTGTTGATTCATGTTTGTTTTTTTGATCCCCTGAAATATATTTATTCCCGAGAGCGTCTGCGAAGGGTTCTTCGTAAAAAAACATCTGCAGAACTACGCATCATCTACATCTTCACATCTTCACCTCTGCACATCCACATTCTCACCTATATCTCTGCTCATCTTCACATCCACATTCACATCTGCACATCTACATCTCTGCTCATCTTCACATCCTCGCATCTACATCTCTGCTCATCTTCATCTTCACACATCGACATCTCTGCTCATGTTCACATCTGCACATCTATACATCTCTGCTCATCTTCACATCCTCACATCTACATCTCACACCTTCACCTCTCGCTCTTCTTTCCTTTCTCTCTTAAGGCCGGGGGCGGTGCCGCCGGAGCACCACGAAACGCAACCCTCTGCGGAGATCGCGCGCGTCGAGGGCGCGAAACGCAGGCGAGGGCGCGATTTGGCCCGGTCCGGCGCAACCCTCTGCGGAGATCGCGCGTGTCGAGGGCGCGAAATGCAGGTGAGATTGCATTTTGGCCCGCTCGCGGGCAACCCTCTGCGCAGATCGTGCGTGTCGAGGGCGCGAAATGCAGGCGAGAGTGCGTTTTGGATTTGGCGCGGGCAACCCTCTGCGGAGATCGTGCGTGTCGAGGGCGCGAAATGCAGGCGAGGGTGTGTTTTGACCCTGTCCGGCGCAACCCTCTGCGGAGATCGCGCGTGTCGAGGGCGCGAAATGCAGGCGAGAGTGCGTTTTGGCCCGGTCCGGCGCAACCCTCTGCGGAGATCGTGCGTGTCGAGGGCGCAAAATGCAGGCGAGAGTGCGTTTTGGCCTCTCCGGCGCAACCCTCTGCGGCGGAGATCGTGCGTGTCGAGGGTGCGAAAGGCAGGCGAGAGTGCGTTTCGGATTTATCCGGCACAGCCCTCTGCGGAGATCGTGCGCGCGGAAGGCGCGAAATGCAGGTGAGAGATCAGAATGGCCAGTTTGTAGTACAAATGTAGTACGGGAAAGAGCTTTTCGGAGCTGGACTCAGAAGTTTGGAGTACAAATGTAGTACGGGAACTGGACTCATACTTGGGGTATCATGTGACATGTTGGCTTCTAGTGTCTGGGCAGCCCGTGTGGCGACGCGACGGTGGTGATGTCGCAGTGCCATTGGGATTTGTGCGGCCTTGGTGGAAAGTGCGTCTGCATGGCGCCGTGCCACTGGGGAGCGCGAAACATGCTGGCGTAAACGCGGCGAGGATTTGTGGCAAGAGTGTCCCACAAGAGTGTCCCAGAGAGAGAGAGAGTGTCCCACGAGAGTATCTTGACACGCTCACATCTGCAGATGTACCGCCACACATCTGCGCACCCATATCGCCCCTGCACATCCACACTGTCACTCCTGCACATTCGCCCTCTCCTTCTCTCTTTCTACACACTGTTGAAGCTGCAAGATCTACCTCTCCACCTCACCACACCCACACATCTCTGCACATCTATATCACATCTGTACATCCACACTGTCGCTCCTTCACATCTGTCCTGTCTTTCGTTCTTTCTGCATATCTTTTCTCTCGCCTCTGTGCATTTACATCTTCGCACGCTCACATCCACAGATCTACCTCTCCACCTCCATACATCTACACATCTATATCGCACCTGCACATCCACACTGTCACTCCTTCACGTCCACCCTCTCTTTCTCTCTTTCTATATATCTTTTCGACAGTGCTGGACAATCACATGTCTCGCTCTCGGGCCAACCGTCGTCTAGTTTTTTGATTCAATTTTGTTTTCTTGTTGATCCCTCGCCCGCAAGTGAGCATGTGTTTTTTGAAGAGAGGGCTGAAAGGCCAGGTAGATGGCACGATTTCATCTTTAGTTAATTGGCCTAGTGGAACTGTAGTTAGTTGTCATTTTTTATATGATCAGAAGTAGTGATGTAAATGTTTGGGGCAGGAAATTACCTGAGCATCAGAACGCTTCGATGAATTTAGTGTTCATGAGGTTAAAGGCACAGGTACTTTGCTCAAGTAAAAACCTGATGTGGGAAAAAACACCGAAGGTCAATTGTCTATTTTGGAAAGTTGTCCAAAGAATGATGTTGAATTTTGGTGAAAAGCGTTCGAAAGCTCAAGAACCGTGGTGTTACACGGTGCAGAGGGTGGAACAGTTTTCATGAGCAGGGCCTGGCTGCAATGAAATTCTATGTCACTCTCTAGCATGCAAATCTCGCCATTGCGAGCGAATGAATAAGGGTGGTTGTTCGGGAGTTTGCCCTCCCCCCTCTCTTCACCTGGTTTGGTTTTGTTTTCGCTAGTTAAGGCTGTGCACTTGTTTCAGGTTGCTTGACAGGATTTGTCTGAGTCCATTGCTGCACAGTGGTTGAGGAAAACTCCCTGCAAGCAATCCATGGCTATCCAACATCCAGCAGCAGCAACAGCTATATAAGTGGCACTGTTCTGAACACCTATGCCTTTCTTTTGCAAGTAAAGAAGTTGAATCCAGCATTCCAAGACAATGGGGGATGCACTGGCCAATCCCACCAGCCAGACAGTCGTGATTACGAAGTGTTTGACCTGACGAGACAGGAGCTGACCGCTGTGGAGCGTTTGCTTGAGGATGCCAGAGCACTTAGCCACCAAAGCGGTCGCAGTCTCATCCACAGTTGACCGAGACAGCCAAACCCTTCAGGTGCAAAAAAGATAATTACCTCTTAACACTCTTTGCTTGCTTCTGTTCCTGATAGTGAGTCATCCCAGGCCCAAGCCTTTGAATTATGTTAAAGGCTGGCGGATATATATATATATACATATATATATATAATTACTGCAAAAACACTGAAATGATTCGTTCTTGGCATGAAAACACTGAATTCTCTCTCAGCACAACAAGGTACGGTTTGCCGTGCTGGAGCAGAGAAGCATGATTGAACAACGCGGGGGTGCTCGACACAGTATTCCCATTGACGAATCATTCCAAACGATGACAGAAATATCCTATTTCTGAGAACCGACATTGAAACCTCGAAATCGCCCATCGGATCGGTCGTCAACGTGCAGACTCCAGGCACTTTGGACGAGAATCTCGCCGCCTCAGCACCAGGAGGCCGTCAACTCTGGAGCTAAGTCTGTAGATAATCCATATGTAGAATTTTGCAAGGTGGCACGAGCAGTACATAACTTTGTGGGCGTGATTGTCGCTGTTTGGCTTCACACCACTTCACGAGAGATTCGCTGCTTTGGATATAGGTCTTGTGTCGTTGCAGTGCTACAGCACTAGCAGCACCACAGGCTCCATGATCTCTTCTATCAAGGAAATCTGCAATATACACTTACACGCTTGCACCTGTAGTGTTTGTGCAGTGGGGTGAACACACAATCAAATCCCAGCTTACGTGGGCACCAGGAAATCCATCCTGGACGCAGCTCAGGGCCGCACAAATTCGTGCGTTGGTTCGGAGCCTGGTGACACCTCCTGTCTTAGCCACGATCACCCAATACTCTTGCCTCTTACAAATGGATAGAAATGGGTGGTCATTCTCCCACCCGAAAAAGGACAACCATATCGATTACCCAATACTCCTGGTGAGCTTCGCGCCTTCTTCCAGCTGCTGATGCTCTGAGATGTTGGAAGATCGAGTTGCAGAGCTGCGGTCTGCAGTCTATGAACTACAGGCGTGACTGACGGGTGCTTTCTCAAGTGACACAAACCGATGTTGGTTCTTTCTCCAACTGATAGTTTGATCTTGGGTTTATGGAGCGCTCACAAGTGTGATGCAAAATTGTGTTTCTTGCTCCTAAACCAGGGTGAGCAGCACACTGGTGTTGTGAAAGTCTAAACTTTAGATGATGTTTAAAGGGCCAAGCGGCCAAGGGCCTTACCTTCCTGCTTTCATGTTTTTTCTCTTGTTTAGGACTTGTTTGATTACAGTAAGTTTAACAGCGTTATGTAGATGAATTTCACCAAAATACAGTGGTGTGCAATGCTTTGCTCGCTTTCCTTCGCTCGCAGTCACGCCTGAGCCTGCTTTGAGGCACGGTGTTAGTCGGGACTCCTGTCTCGGTTCGCCATTTTTTTTACTTGTTTTATCTTGATTGTCACAAGTTCCGCAAGGTAATAGAACCATCAGTCCGTTTGTGGTTTCACTCGTGGGATTGAACGTACCTCAGAGTATAAGTAGGTTCCCCCAAGAGTACAGACGTATGGTGGTTTCAGAGCAGATGGCACAAACCCAAAGATGTTTTGTATATATATATATACACTGTATATACTTTTATATGGAGGTCAATATCAACCACCCCTTTGGAGATTGTGCCATCTACTCTGAAACCGCAGCTCCGGGCTGGACATCCCTGCAGCAATTTGCCTCCACGACTGCGGACCATTTCACTAGACGATTTCCAACACAATCACACCACGCTTGGCTCAAAAGCCTTTTCTCAACTGCCAGTTTCATGCATGCCAATATTCCATCAATCAGACACTGACTGCTGGAGCACTGATTCAATATCCTGTGGTCTTGTCCGTTTATTCCACAATACTCTCACTTTGTCAATGTGGACGAGCTCCAGTTCATTTTTGCGGGCAACTTGTTGATACTGGTTGGAAAGCAAGTTCTTTTCAATCAAGCCGAATAGTTTTGCACTGTGTTCTTTACATAGTAGGTATTGTTAGTTGTTCCCTGCTCTGTCCAGTGCTAGTTTGCTTCAGTCCAAAGGCTGCAAGCTAGCAGTGAAAGCTTGCAAGTTTGAAGCTAACATGCAAATCCCTTGTTCCCAGCGCTGCCACTCGACTCCTTCCGCCTGTTTCCTGGAGGCAAGCGCAGCTTGGAACTTGCCAAGATCTCATGCAATGAGAACTGTTTGGCCATGGCTTAGTCGTCAGAAGCAGGCATTAAATTGTTTTGGGCCACTTGTTGATCATCAGGTCAAGCCAAACTCAACTCAAACGCCACAATCTATCCGTATGGCGTCCATGCCAACCAAGTCACATCAGCACAAAGTCAGAAGACACCAACCTTGTACGTGTTCTTTCTTGTCAATTGGGTGTCATCTCGTAAGCCCCGAAATGCGTTGAGCGGATGTTGAGCCTGCTGCAAGTCGGCTGAGCCTAGTTCCAAATGATGCATTTGCCCAGACCAATTGTCTCCAAAACAAGCTTGGTGGCATGGTTGAACCCTGACTATGCCCGCTGCCAGATGCTTTGACCCTTATATAGCCACTTGGTCAGTGCCTAATCCCAATCGATATGTTGCAGAGCAGTGCAAGCGCAATAATATTGAATCGCCTGAGGATCGAGTTAAGCTAGAATTCTGGGGACTACTAGTACAAGAATCTATGTGATCTTGAGCTGTGAGCTCCAGACTCTGAACGTGTAGTTTGAGTCCATTTCAACGTCATTCTTTTGATAGCACCATGTGTTCAATTCGTTTCTGTGTTGTTGCGTGTCAGGTAAAACATGTGAGCAACCAACGTGGAATTGAACTGTTCAGTAATTTGTATGGTAGTGGGAGTGATGGTGTAAGCAACCCCTTTGAAAAGATGGAGGATCACCCTTTTGGCCTTGGCAATTTCGATAGATACCATATTGTACTGTCCACTAAGGACTGGCTTTGTTCCACGATGTTGCATGCAGGCTGTTGCCAGACCCTGACCCTGGTGTTTAGAGCCACAAGATGGCTTGGTGCAATTCTGCATACCATGTGGAAAGAGGGCACCAAACAAGATGCCCGGCAAAGATCTAGGCACCCCACGATGTGAATTGCATTCTTGTCGCATTGGCAAGAAGACTAGGAGTTGGTCGCATGTCCGGAGAAAAGAAGAGCGGCAAGCGCTTCCTTGCGCGGGAATTGTATAATGACACAGTGTTGACATTGAGAGGAAAGCTGCAAAACATTGCAAAACTCTTCTTTGAGAGATGCAAGATAATACAACCTTCACATTTCCCAACTCGCTTGGTGATAGATTGCTGCACTTGGAGATGCTCCATTTACAGTGTAATAATATATATATACATATTTGGAAACCGTATATATAGAAAAGGATAACAGAGATCACTGCAAGTTCCAAGCTTAGCAGAACATGTGATGGTAAAGTACAGATTGAAGTCGTTCAGGCAGTTCAACCACTGCTGCAGTTCAACATTACCATGCTTCGAGGATGCCACAAGTGGGATTCAAGCATCAGTTCCGTATATGGACTGCCAACAGAGGTCCTTTACTCCTTCGCTATGGACCGTGGTGATCAGATGCCTTTTTAGTCTGGATGGCGTTGCCTGCTGAGGGCAGCGCTCACGATGAGTCAGGCTAGCTGCTCAGAGAGAGGGGGTTGACATGCCCAGAGTGGTCGAACCATGTCGAACCTGACGACGCTTTTTCAGATTCGAACCCAGAGCACTCTGGCACAGTCTCGGTGTCCTGGCCAACCGTTTTCTCTTATGTGTGAGGTAAGAGGCTTCTGAAAACAATTGCATGTTCGACCTATATTGTGTGTATGATATGAGGGTTTCTATACATGTTGAGACATGTTTTTGAACATGCTTTTGGACTGATACCAGGGTTTGCAGACCAAGGTGGATGTAGTTCTGCTGCAATTCGCCATGGGCACCTTTGCACTGGCGATGCGATACTGTTCCAGGCTGTCGACCGGAGACCGACCAGTGGACCGACCGGTGGACTGGGTGTGGACCTGTGCAAGATTTGATGGAACCCAACCCGAAGACAGACCGAACTACAAACAGTTTTTGTGAGAACGCACACGTTCCGTCAGATTCGACATAAGTCCTTCACGCCGCTTGTTCAAACTCGGGCCTTACCGAGGGCCCTTGAGTCAAAGGAAAAGCGCGTGTCAGCGTTTGGGTTGCAGCGACTGTTCCAGTTGCTGTCTGGCAGCGGAGCGAATAGCGCTCCAGCACCTTTTTCGATGCGCCAGTTGCCTAGCGGGTTGCCCTTTTTGTAGAGCACTTGCCATGGCGCTGGACACCCTTCGGCACGGGGTGTACAAACCTCAGTGGGCCACATCAAACCAGGATATATAAGGAGGTGATGTGTCCTCATGGCCGGAATACAAGTTCGCAGTGCAGGCTCTGGAGAAGAAGGAGGCTAGCTTGGCGGATGGCGAAAAGAAAAGCTTTGGCCGTTCCAGGGCGGTCTACTTCTCTGCGGGCTTGAAGAACACGGAGGCGGAGAATGTGACCTACACAGCGCTTCGAGAAGGTGGAGGAAAGTTGCCTCAGGGGTGCGGTCACATGGTCCGCATGCGCAGCACTTTGTGCGCCTCGACGCTCTCGATCTGTCAAGTGACATCACGGCGGCATTCCTACAAGGAAAGATGGGATTCCAGCGGAGGGTGAGGCGCCCATCGAGCCACTCACCTACATGATCGCATTGATGAGCGCGCGCAGCTCCAAAGATGCACCCAGGCGTTTCTGGATGGAGTTGCGGAAGGAGCTCTACCAGGGGTTGACAGAAATTGACCGCCGTGTACAGCCTCAGCGACAGTGGGGAGATCTGTGGAATGGTGTGCAGCCATGTGGACGACTTGATTTGGGCTGGTGATCATCGCACGGCGTCGCGTGGATGAACTCATGGAAAGGGTTCAAAAGCGGTTGGACGCTTGATTGAGGACAAGGATGACTACATCCACATTACATGCCCGGAAACATTGGGGAAGACCAAACCTATCTTCGTGGAGAAGTAACGGATGAGGCATCCTGCCGCGGAGGCAACGGACTCAATCGAACAGAGCTTGATAGGCGTGAGAATGCCCGCATTCCGTCAGATTCGACCTGAGTCCTTCATGCCGCTTGCTCAAGCCCGGGCCTTATCGAGGGCCCTTGAGTCAAAAGGAAAAGCGCATGTCAGCGTTTGGGCTGCAGCGACTGTTCCAGCTGCTGTTTCTTGAAAGTTTTCTGCTGTTTGTTTATGGACCCGGCGTTTGTGAGCACTTGGGCAAAACATAGGCACCACCTCTACATCTGAGCTAGAGACTACCGGACATACTTTAAGACCCAAGAAGCAACACCTGAGATATTGAAAGAACACGGGACCGAAAACCTCCCAAATCCTCCCAATCCGGAGGGCGCATAGATCTAATTTATAGAATTTATACAAGTCAGTCATGCCTCCGGTTCGCAACAGCAGCGCAACGATACTTGCAAGCGACGCATCGATGTGTACATCATCATGCTTGAGCACTATTGACAAAGCATGCAAGTGCTACGCAACACATCTGAACATTTATGAACGACATATGACAGTCGGTCGTCTAGATGTGGACACCTCAGAGTGAGACATGTCCACGGACGACACATCGAAGCCGCACCCCGGAACCACACATGCACACGACACCTAAACCGAACCTTTCGGAGAGGCACATTTGCAGTCCTTTTCGAAGTCGACCTCTGTTGCACACGCAAAAAGTGACAAACGAAGAAGTGCTAAGCTTCTAAGCCCCAAATTCCCAACGAAAAACATGGGTTACTCCTTCAGCAACCTGAAGTGTGCGCCACTAATTACTCCCTCGTGTTCCTGAGATGGTGTGATGACAGGCCACTCCTGAGCTGCTGTCGGAGATGCGGCCTTTGTTTTCATGGTTGGTTGTGCAAGACTCAGGCATCTCAGTGGTGCGTAAAGAGTGAAGACTATTAGTCATGAATGGGCATGGGGGGCCATAGGCCATGGCTAAGGGCCATGGGACTTGCTTCGTCGTATCCCTCAATGGGACTGCCCCTAACTGATGGCGGCTTAGTTCCACGCTGCAGGTGCTGCATTTGCAACCGCGAGCCTGCTCAATCCACATCCACATCAATAGGCGGGAGCAGCAAGGTCAGTAGACTCAGTAGGCAACGGTATCAATTCGACTTGCCACATTTGCGTGGCTGGGAAGCCCCAGCTGTGGTCTCAAATGGTCTCAAACCTGTCGACTTTGGATACCAAAATTGGCTCAAAACATTGCAGCATAGAGGATCTGTGAGTGCACTTGGACTCGGATCTTCTGGCCATGGGGAGTGGGGCAAGCATGGGCATTGTCCACAAGAAGAAAAACAAGAAGGTCAGGAATCTTCAGGCCACACCAGTCATCCTGCTTTACAACAATTCAGATGAGGAAACAAAGACAAACAGCTGTCGGTGCTCCCTTCCGACGTTGCCACCTCGGCCAATTGATCTGACTTCCAGAGCAAAGGTTCGCTCAGGAGGACTCAGTCCTGCTCTACATGTTCCCATTGAGGAGGAAGCAGAAGAGGAATTGGAACAGCTTTGATTGGAGAGGATATGATTTCTGACAGTTCCACACAAGTTACATACTTTCATAATTAATGATAATTAATGATAATTAATGTTTTTGCCGCGCGCCAATGCCTTATCAGTAGTTTTGTTGCCGTGTGTGGCCAGCACCACGGGAAGCCTGTATATAGTACCCGGTTGTGCGAGGGTGGCTTATCACACCTACCGGTGCGTCGTTGAAGCTTTTGCTCAGAAAGTGGTAGCTTAGTCCAACGAGGGTCCAAAGTGTTTCGAAGGCAATGTATCAGGGCCGTGTGGTTTCAGCATCCCTAGCTATGGCATTTGCACATGTGCAGTGTGCAGCCATACAATCTCAAGACATACCGGACCAAGCTTGCCTAGGGCCGCAACATGGTGCAACAGACATTCCATCAATCCTATCAATGAACATTGAACTTTCCACAAAGGTTTTGCAGTCGCTCAATGATACTCGAGCACTTGTGAGCAAGTGCCATCATCATCAATCATTCTCGACGTTCTTGTCCATGGCGAAGGGACAAACATGGCCTGAAAAGAGTCCCGTCCATCCGAACGTGCAGATTTGCTTTCCTTCTTTGCTTCAACCTCACCGTCCAGTTTGGCTTGGATTGAAACCAGTGGCTCAGTTTTTGTCAATCCTACCCAAAAAGAAGAAACACACAAAAAGAAGACCGAAGGAAAGGAAAACAGAAGAGCAAAAAGGCTGCAGAAAAAGAGAACATGTATTTCGTAGGCAACAAATCATCCTTATGACTCGTCTGTGGCACATGTTGGTGCTCCTACTGCCTAGGCATCGATCGCGTGGTGTCACGACATTCCTGGCTTCTTTTCCAGTGGTGGAGAGACCCGTGCAGAGGTACACATCATCGTGTCACGATGTGACGCGATCGCATCGAAGCGTGTCGTGTCGCGTGTTGTGTCACGTGTTGTGTCGCGTGTTGTGTCGCGTGGAGTCGTGTCGTCCGTTCGGGCAGGTCTTCACGAAAGAGTTGGAGGAGACACCGTTTCGATACCTGCCGTACTTGGCACGTGCCAAGCGGTTGTTATTGAGCTCCCAAAGATACATCGCCTACTCCAGTGACGTGGGCGAATCGCTGCGACCGGTCTTGAAACCTTGGCAAGTAAACTTGAGCTATGGTATTGCAGGAGCTTCTCGACGTCATGAGTTAAATCTTTTTCATTTGCAACACCCACTTGAGATGTCATCAGTGTTTGCTTACTTTTGGTCTGGGGTTGGTCACTACGTTTTTATGCTGCTTCTAAAGTCACAAAGGTATGGCCTTTGATCAACCAAGTCAGCAAACATAGTGAAGACAGTTCTGTTGGCTTTGCGGAAGTTCAGGTAAAGATAAACATTGGAAACATAGGAATTTCCTTGAGAACACAGGCTGTCTATTTCTTGGACCAAAGTCTTTTGCCTCCGAAGGCCTACGTTTTAGCTGACACTACTTTAGCGGGGTATCGGAAGCACCAGAAGAACTGCAGCCGAGAGGAAATTGCTGCTGCGTGCGCTCACACTGCTGTCTTCCAAACATTGGCATCGCTGGCCTTGCCTGCAGTCGCCTGGCACAAACGACACAGCGGCGAAAGACAGTTGGAGGCAGAGGGTCACAGTTCTTTTGCAAGGGTTGTTGAATGGTGTGGTCGTGTTGGTGTTGTTGATGATGATGAAGATGAAGCAGTGATAAGTAGCAAACTCAGTGCTTGATTGACTCAGATTCCTTTGTAGGATTGAACTGGGTCATCACTTGAGCTCCCTTTTGTTGCATCATTATCCTCCGGGTTGCCTCGGGTGGCCTTGTTCTAGTGATTTTTGTGTGTGCATATTTGAAGCTAAGCAACAGAACAGGCCCTTCTCAAGTCAATAGTGGGTCTGGGGGGAGGGTAATCAGATGTAGCGGATGGCATTGATCAAATCTATATAATCTAATTATGTTGTCATTGCCTGAGGTGATCATCCACACCTGCGTCCATCAGTCCCAGCACTTCTTCGACAAGGAACGCTTTGCGCACAAGCCAAAGCTGGCAAGATATGGTCCAAGCGCTGTGGGGTTAGCAATCATTCCATTCATGCCACTGCAGCCTGACTGAATGCTCTTGGACGGTGCAAGTCATGCTCCCAAGTTGGCTTTTTGTTTGCTTTTGATATGGCACCTTGTTGCCATGCGTTGCTGTGTTGATCGTCGTAGACCCTCAGATTGTGAAGGTTGGACCACCCTTGCGAGCATGCCGCTTTGCTGCACAGCCAAGTGGTTTAGAGTCTTCGACAAACTACATCCCATGTTGCAGCTTTGCATTCATTGGGGCGGCACCAGAATCCCATCCAGGAACTGACATTTCGCTGTGGCTAAGACATGCTAAGACCTGCAAAGGTGCAGAAAGCTTCAAAAACCTTCTGTCTCCCAGTGTTTGGAGCACTTTTCAAGTCTTGGGACCCGCATCGAACTGAGGGGACTCCATCTTTAAGGTTTGGGAATTTTGAACCCCAACAGAATCTACAGTTGGCGCGAAACATCGATACATGGCACCTAAATACGTGAATCAAGGGACAAGAAGATACAGAAACTGATGCCATCAGCATTCCTCCCCTGCAGCTACCTGGCCCCAAGGCGATTGACGCTATGTTCGATCTTTGTTGGCCTGCATGGCGTGGAGAGGGATCCAAATAAGACGGACTGATGAACCGGACGGCAATCCAAGGATTGATGCGGACAAAACAAAAAGAATCCGCCCATTTGGGTACATCTTCCAAGTGTTTTGAGCCAATGCCAGTGCTGGTTGAAGTTCCGAGGGAATTCCGACCTCCAGTGAAACGGTTGAAAGGACTGGCAGCTAGCAGCGAAGAATATCCTATCAATCCTAGTGAGAACAGAGCGTACATGCTATCGCTTTTTTGGATTGAGGTGGATGGTGCAAGTTGATTCAGACGATGATGCCAATTAATTGTGCAAATGTGTTTGTCGTTGGTGTTGGTAGTGTAGCTGTATTCATTTCCCTTTGTGTCCTTGCTAGGGCGTGTTGGCCGTTCTTGTTGCGGGTGGTTTGCATTATGACATATTCACATAGATTTCAAGCTCACAATCATGTTCCTTCTCATGACGGGTTCGTACCAGTTGACGGTCCTCCAGTCCTGGTCAGGGTCATTACATGTTTTCATGTTCACGCCAGCTACAGTATATGCGGTCTCATTCTCAAGCCCACCTCCATATCATGTTCATGGTCCAGCCTTTGTGTTTTCATGTAATTAACGATTTGATTTGGATTGTTTGTGGCAGTTCATGTCATGTTTATGCCTTGTCATGTGTTTTTGGTTTCATGACGTTGATGCTATTCGGATTTATGATCAATCCTTGCTATGTTCATGTTTGTGTTCACATGTGTTGTCAAAAGTATTCCTATCACGATCATGTCAGTCTCGTTTGGATATTGGATACTGATCGGACTTCATGGTGATGTCATGTTTTACGGTTACTATTCAAGGTGATGTCACGTTTATGTCCATGTTCATATTTCATGTCTGGGTGTTCTGATGAAAAGGAGGACTTCTACACTTTGCCATCCACCTTCATTGTTACCAGAAGAACTCCCATTTGACACGTCCCGGGACAGCTGGAGAGACCTCATCGGAGCGGAAAGAAAAGATTACGATGAAAGTGAAGGATGAAAAGATTACGATGAAAGGACGCTACGAACGGGGCTCCTGGCATTACTAGTAGCAAGAAGCTATTAGAAACAAATAAGTAAATGTGCAAAGAGTTGCCCAGAGAGAGGTGATTTCTATTTGTGGTTCTCGACCTACGGAGCAGTGCGCCCCTCAGAAAGCCAGGTTTGTGTTTCGTGTTGAAAGACATCACGCGAAAGTCTGATCCGCCAAGTCAACAGAGGTGGTTTCCGAAGAGAGGAGTGTGAGCACTGAGTGAAGGTAAGTTGCAAATGTTGGCACAGCCTGTTGGCAGGTCCGTTGGTACTGGTTCCACTTGGCAATTCAGCTGGGCTTCATCAGCCGAGAGTCCGGGCCCACAGACCCTGACAACAGATGTGTTCGTGGCGAATGGATGTCATCTCCACCTGACACACCATATCACCCATATATACATGTGCATGGTCCATGGTCAAAGAGTTTTGGATCCAAAAGAAAGTTCCGCAGCCACAGGATGCATTCTGGCACGGCCCAGCTTGGTCGTCAAGGAAATATATATGTGGAAGTATTGCGAACCCTCTTTGAGATCAACCTTTGGTGCAAGTCTTTGGACTCGCACATGGTGAATTCGATTGGTGTGGTCCAAAGAGACTATGGTTCCCTTGTGGAGCTCTTTTTGCAGATGCATTGTTGTTGATCACTTCTCAGACAGGCTTGCCGTGGCCAAGGTTCCAAGTGATTTCGGCAGTGGGAACTTGGCCTTTCGTTCCTTGGTGAAGACCATCGGTGGGTCCGGCCGAAAGACTTGCCCGGGATGCCAAGCTCGACATTTCTGATCCAGGTGTTCGAAAATGCCACGCTGGCAGTCCGTCCTTTTTGTTGCCCAACACGGCCAAGTGACCAAAACAGATTCATCATGATTCATCCAAAACAGTGCCACAGGGAAGGGTCATGATATTTTTGTGATTCTTTGTGTATCCATCATCGATCCATCATGATTCATCACTATGCTTGAGTTTGTGTGTTTTCGTGCAAGCAAGACCTCCAAAGCCTCCCTGCTCAGGAAGTGAAACTCTCCTTCTGTGCGATTTGCCTCACTTACTTGGTGGTGCTGCTGGAGGTTCATTCACAAAAGAACACTGAAAGATACTGAAAGGATCTGCAAGGGACCCACAGCATCCCAAAGTCGTTACGGTTTGGTCAGTTTGGTCATTGGATGGTGTTGGGCATTTGCTCAAGGAGTTGTTCTTCGCCATTCGTAGCATCGCCTCTATTGCAGCGTTGCGTATGTTTGGCTGCAGGCACGAAGCAGCCTCCTCGGTGTTACGTAGTTTATGCCATTCTTTTTCGGCTGCAGGTTTACAACTTCTCCTCAGTGCGGAGCAAAGATGTTGTGACAAAGAGCCTTCGGCTGCACTGGCTTAAATCCACAGGACTGTGTTTGTTTGTATCCAACTGTCAGGTTGCGTGAGTTTCACTGGGGGGCAAGCACGTTCCCCGGAGGTCCGCATCCCGAGTGCTTGTTGTTGGGGGTGTCGAGTCACATTTTGATGAAATACGGTACGCTCCTAGGTTGAAATAGCAAGCCTTTTGTTTCTCGAAAACCTCTTGTATGTGCAGAGTTGACTTGGCCCATGACTTGCATCCATAGGGTGAAGATTGTAGCTCTCAGACCCACCCAAGTTCAACTTCAGACCACAAATACACGTTGAATCCAGTTGAATAGCTGTCCAGCAATGTCCGCCTCGACTGCACGTCAAAAGTTGTTTGCGCTTTTAATTGGTCCGGGCCAGCGCGTCGGATTCTGAAAGGGTCCCTCAGGAGGGGTACATGTCCAGGCCTATGATCCAGACCCATCCAGAGCGAATGATGTGGCATTGCTAGCTTTGCCGGTAACTTACCCTGCTAGAGGAATTCTTGGATGGTTTTTGGCGTGAATGTACCCTTCAATTTTGCCAACACATGGCCTACGGCAAGGGGAATCGCATCTCGTGACCAACACTGAAAGCGTTTTTTTGGCAGCTGCCTTCGTAAGGATGGTCCACGCCACTAAGTTCTGTTAAGTTTTAAAAGTTTGCAGTTTGCACAACTGTCAAATGTTCCAACCGTCTCGCCTTCAGGATCACAGTGGATGGCTTGCTTGACATGATACTGCTTCCAGCTTCGTGGCGGAAATTAAAGGGGAGAGTTGCTGGGAGAACATGTAGAACCTGTGACCAGGCGGAACCTCAGGTACATCTAGTTGAAGTACTCATTGTCTACACTAGGACCACAAGCTTACAGGGGATGAACGACGCGCTTTCTTTCCTTGAATGTTTTGACCCAGTTGACTGCACCTGACTGGAGGACACTGTAACGCAGCAACGGCTCCTTCAGCGTATTGCCGAGGTAAACATCGGTTTGTTCGGACACCTTTGTGTCCGAAAGCTGAGCTTGCAGGGGCAGCATCACTCCGTACAGGCAGGTGTATCAAGACCCGGAGCCGACACGTCTTTAGCAAAAACTCAGCAACACATAGCAAAACGACGCCACGGGGATGCGTATGTATTTTCAGCATCAGTTCGCTCTACGGCTAAGCCCGGCAAAAGCCTGGTTCGTTGCATATGTTGCTGGCAGCGGCTTAAGTTGCAAAGTCTGGCCATGAAATTTGGTTAAACAAAATGACAGTTTTTCCTTGTGTGGCGATCACTAGAATTCTATGACCTTGTGTGTATGTTTGTTTCTAGCCAGGATCTCTAGTTCAAGTGTCCTGTGTCAAGCCCTTGCTCACAGGTGATTTCCACCATAGTGGCTTGGCAGATTTTTGGCTGGAGCTTGGAGTGCCTGGAGATGGAGCAGTGAACATGTTGCGTTGTTGGTGTGTTTTGCTGATGCTGACGTGAGTGCATCGAACGCATGTCCAACAAATGTTGAACCTACGTAGGCATTGAAGTAGCTTTTGGTGCAGCAGTAAAGATTTTATCATGATCGTGAGAATGTGTATTGGCATTTAGCCACGCGCGATGTTGCCAATTAGGCTAGCATTTGTTGCCAATTAGGCTAGCATTTGTTGCCAATTAGCCGGAGAATCTGAGAGAGAGAGAGACCCATCACACACCTCCTCAGTCTGTACTTGTGATGTACGCCCGAACTCAGACTTCACTGGAGGGTGGAGTCAAAAAGAAGGAGGTCATTGACCGATCAAAACTGGGGCCAATTAGGTTCAAAGTGGAAATCGACACAGCTGATCTGCAAACTCGAAACATGGAAAAGTGATTCCACGACATTCCGAAAGCAGTGAAATGTAAAAAGTTCAGCAGCAGAGTGAATGTCAAATTGATGCCATTCAAGAAGATTGTGATTCTTTACCCGGAGAAAAGGGGATCAAAATTAAAACACATGAAATCGACACAACGAAACTTACGTGCAGTGCACATCGAGATCAAGAAATTTCAAAAGGAGTCAAAATGCTACCAAATGCTCTAAACTGCTGCACTGTGAATGTGAAAAAAGGCCGCGGGCACAGAAAGGGAACTGGAGGCGCGAGGGAACGACGCAAAAGGGAAAGCAAAGAAGCGTAAGGATCCCATGCGCAAGTGGCAACGGAAAGCGTCGAAAACGCATGGCAAGCACGACGCAGAACATGCGCAGCAATGGCGAAACGAATGAACAACGTAAAACAACAACAGCGGAAAGCCACACAAAAAGACAACGCTCAAGATCATGCACGGGCAAGGGCACATTGCCGTTGAAACCCAAGAGATCAGCTCATCATAGCGATGCAAAGTTAAAGAACTGAATTCGGAAACGCCAGAGCAGTGCATGTTAATACACGAGGGTGCATCTAAAACAAAACATGGGGCTAGTGGGAGTTGATTTATACATGTACAGCAACAGTACATCAATGGTTAGAAGATGTTAATTAGAAGTAACTCCTTACACGACTATCCAAGATCTCCAAGAATGGAAACCTATCAAGTTCTCTACAGCAACCAGGCATATTCGTATCCCACTCAGCCCAAGATTTCCAAAGCTGGAAAGTGCCAGAGCCGTTTGGCTGAGGCCGAGAGTTCCGAAATTTGGGAAGCCTGGGCTTTGTGGTCTGTTCTAGGCAAGCAGAGGGTGTCAGAATATACGCATCGACATATAGCTGGCAGGAAAAGGGTTCCTTTTCACTTTTTTCCTGATTGCAAACCAAGCAGAAGTGTGTTCATGGTAAATCTCTTAACTGGTCTTTGCTTTGCTAGTTCCATCCATGCGCTTTGGGGAATGCAGCCGCAAGTAGTAATTTGGATTCCTCCTTCGGCACGTTGTGCGGAGGCCTATTCGTGACTGTGGTAGATGTGGAGTCGCAAGAAGATGCGGAGCGCAGGTCCTTTGTCAAGCCATTCAGGACTGTCGCTATTGGGGTGGAGGGCCATCGCTCTTAGGTTCCTTGAAGTTGTTTTTCTATTTTCTTTTTCATTCCCCACCTGTCAGGTGAGGGTTGTTAGATTTCATGTCAGCCCCATCTCCTCCTTCTCCTCCGCCGGACCCCAACCACGACCATCCACGCCCAGTGTTCCCTGCCAGACCTCAACCACGACCATCCGCGCCCCCAGTGTTCCCTGCCGGACCTCAACCACCACGCCCATTGTTCCCTGCCGGACCTCAACCGCGAGCTCCAGACCCAAGTGTTCTCTGCCGGACCTCAACCACGACCATCCGCGCCCGCAACACACACAACCACAAACACACAACCACAAACACACAACCACAACCACACCCACAAACACACAATCACAAACACACAACCACAAGCATACAACCACAAACACACAACCACAAACACACAACCACAAACACACAACCACAAACACAACCCCACAAGCACACAACCACAAACACACAACCACACAAACACAACCACAAGCACACAACCACACAAACACAACCACAAACACAACCACAAACACACAACCACAAACACACCCACAAACACACTAACGCAACCACAAACACACAACCACAGACACCCAAACACAACCACAAACCCACAACCACAAACACACAACCACGAACACAACAACAAACACACAACAACAAACACACAACCACAACCACAACCACAAACACACAATCACGAACACACAACCACAAACACAACCACAAACACACAAACACAACCACAAACACACAACAACAAACACGCAACCACAAACACAACCACAAACAAGCACAAACACACAACCACAACCACAAGCACACAACCACAAACACGCAACCACAAACAAACAACCACAAACACAACTACAAGCACACAACCACAAACACACAACCACAACTACAAACACACAATCACAAAGACAACCACAAACACACAATCACAGAGACAACCACAAACACAGTCACAAACACACAACCACAAACACACAACCACAAACACAACCACAGACACCCAAACACAACCACAAACACACAACCACGAACACAACAACAAACACACAACCACAACCACAAACACAAACACAACCACAAACACAAGCACAAACACACAACCACAAACACAAGCACAATCACAAACACACAAACACAATCACACAACCACAAACACATCCACAAACACAACCACAAACACACAACCACAACCACAACTACAAACACACAATCACAAAGACAACCACAAACACACAACCACAAACACACAACCACAAACACACAACCACAACCACAACACATCACACAACCACAAACACACAACCACAACCACAACACAGCACACAACACAAACACAACACACAACCACAGCACACAACCCGAGGACCCACAAGCAAAATCGAGAACTACAATACTCACGACCATGGCAACATGCTCCTCACTATGGCATCAAGACAAATGATTGAAATGTCATGGTGGGGATCACTCGAAGTAAAGTATTTTTTCTATAAGGATATGGTTATATTCTTTTTGGCTCAGGACCCGCAGCAATCATTTCCCGATGACGTTTGATGGTCCCCAACCAAGGTCGCTGTGACTTGACACACTAGGACTGAGACTAGGCCCTTGAAGTTACAAGTAAGTGTCTCCTAAGGTTACTAATGATGTTTTAAAGAGGATGTTGTTCATGATCCCCATAGCAGACAAAGCAGTAGTGTTTTTGAGCAGTGCATGTTTTGTCACCAGCAATTGTACAGGAGTTTATCAGCAGGTCCTTGTTCAGGACCTTGTTCATCGACAGACATTCATGTTGCAAACCATAAGTTGCGTGAAAGTCATGTTTGACTTAGTCAGAGAGTATTGGATGTTTGACGAAAGATCCGCGAAAGTTCCATTGTTATGAAGTATACTCTTGGGCCATGAACACCTGCTGAACTCGCGACCTTTTGTGGCAACAGTTTGGCCAAAGTTTCACGAAGGCTTAGCCCCACTTCGCAGGTCCTGCCGACATGTTGCTAGGTAATGACGTGCAATGACTCCACAACAAGGGAGCTTCCGTAGTTTATCCATTTAGTAGGCCGATTCCATGAAGAGGAACATAGATTAAACCCAGCATACTGTATACTTTAGTTCGACTCCTCACATTGAAACTTGAGTTTGCACTATGTTGATCTGTATTTGTGGCTTTTGTGGTGACTGATAAATACATTCGTCACGGGCGTCCTTCGATCTTGCTTTGCACGGAGGAATTTGAGCCTGCAAGGCGCGAGTGTTGCTGACAGTAGGGGAATGAATTGAATGACTCAGATCTTCAGTGGCGCAACATCTCAGGGATAGAAGCTATCGACGACCCCAATGGTTTGTTGGCATTTATACTGTGCCTGTGGCTGGCTGGCCTTATCAAGCATCACCTGCACGTTTGCAAAGTGCGTATTCCTGCTTCGCTTTGTTTGAATAGCGATAGTTTGCGCATGTTTGCGCCACCTCCAAGTCTAAGCTGCAATCCAAACGTTTGAGAAGTGTTGAGACGCATTCGGATTGGAAGCCGCTGACAGAAGAAACGTCGCGACAAGGATTAGCAACTCTGCATGCTGCCCGCAGGCGTCCGCACCTGGGTCTTCATTATCATGGCCATCTCTGTCACAAGGTTTGCCACGTTGGAGTGTTCGGCAAATTAATCACGAAAGCTAGCCTTAGCTAGCTGGAGTTGCTCTTGCTTTAGCAAGTTAAGTGACGGGGTGGACGCACCTCAGAAACCTCAAATAATTGATTAAATCAATCTTATGGACCCCCCCCCCTGAAAAGTAGAGCCTACCTGTACAGGGTTCCACTTCAACAGCTGATATAGTGTGTCCACGCTTGACTGCTTCAAGGCTCAAGAGAGGGTCAATGGACCTAAGGATAAGACTCTGCGTGAGCAAAAGACACTAGCGGTCTGCACCTCTACCGTGTACGCCCTAGTCACTCTTTCAGTGGTAGCGGAGCAGTGATCCTGGAAGACCCAGGTGAGCTCCTTTCCTAGGCATAGACTTGCTTGTGGGCAACCGGCCATGGATTGGATTGACGACTGGGAAGAGCCTGATGCGGATGTGGCTTATGAGCCAGCAGCCTACGTGAATAGGCATGTGAGAAGAGAACCAGCAGCGATAGCTATGACAACACAGGTCACTACAAAGGTGCCCCCATCTTATGATGGAAAGACTTCATGGTTTTCCTATGAGGATGCCATAGACGATTGGTGTGATATCACCGAGCTGGAAGATGAGAAGAGAGGACCAGCTTTGAGAAACAGATTAGAAGGAGAAGCAGCAGTATACAAACGTGTATTAGACAGAGATTCATTGAAGGCTAATGAGCCACCAGGAGCAGGAGTAGATTACTTCAAACGAGTACTACGACCATATTTCGTGAAAGGATCAACCAATGTATTCCTATACAGGTTGATGCAATTCGTGCGATTCAATCGAGGATCAGCTGACATGATGAAATGGATGACAAGATTCCAGATTTTACTCCAAAGGCTTATGAGCAGTTGGATGGACATGTTAGAACCAGTCACTCAAGCACATCCCCAAGTCCTTGCTCAGATGCAGGCAGATGCAGCGTTGACTGGAGTAGCACCAACGGCAGAAAGGATTCAGGAAATCATGCAGAATGTCAATGGCAATATGAGAATTCTTCATCAGAATGATTTTCCTTTAGGAGAGAATCTCATTGCCCTACTCATGCTGTCCCTTGCAGATTTGTCTCAGGACCAGCGAAACACTTTGACTTCATTGATGACTCATCGTGGCAGGGTCCTGCAGCAGTATACTACAACAGAGTTGAGGACAGTGTTCATCGAGATGTTCTGCACAACAAAGACTTCAGTAGACAATCCATTGATGCAGCCGACAGGTGCTGGAGGTAGAAGATCATTTCTCGTACTAGACGAAGGAGAACTCGATGGTACATTTGGCTATTGGGCCGAAGATGAAGAAGATGGAACAGAAGGATTTTTAGATGCCCTGGACGATGTCTTTTGGGTATATGATGATCAAAACTTCTCATGGTTCCAAAGGAGATTCCAAGGAAGAAGAGCCAGAAAAGGCAAAGGAAAAGGAAGAAGAAAAGGAAAAGGAAAAGGAAGATCAGGCCGCAGATTCTTCAGACCTCGTGGAAAAGGAAAAGGAAAGAGACGAGGTAAAGGCCATTTTGCTGATGAGCAACAAACAACATATCCAGAAGAGTACTTTGAAGAGAATCCTTATGAGGGTACTTGGGAGTCAACCCAAGGAGCATATGATGCCATTCTTGCCGAGGATATGAATGACTATCTTCAAGGAGAATATGATGATGCCAATGACTTTTGGCAACAGCTTGAAGAAGCATGGTTTTCCCACAAAGGAAAAGGAAAAGGCAAGAGAAAAGGCAAGAAAGGAAAAGGAAAGGAGGAAAGGATAAAGGAGATGGCAAACAAGATGCAAACTATGCAAATCAACAACAGCCACGTTCTTTACCTGCACCTTCAAGAACTTCACAAGCATCAGGAGGTCAACAAGTTTTCTTAGCACATTGTGTGACAGCAGCAGCTGAAGTCCATGACAGTGAGGTGGACTTGCTGTCAGGCATGATGACCTCATGCCAAGATGAAGCTGACTGCGCGGTCAACAATGGTGAGACGATCTTCGATGACATGAGTGCCCCTGTGAGGTACTCTTTGTCAAAGGAGATGCTCACAAAGGCTCCTGATGGCTTTGCGCTTATGAGCGCTGATGGCTTTGCGCTTATGAGCGCTGAGGAAGAAGTGAAGGAGATGCAGGCTATTTCATTTTTGACTGAGAATCGCTTCCCGCCAACTATTGCAATCCTGGATATTGGATGCACTAGAGCTATGGGATCAAGGCGAGCAGTCGACCATTTTTGCAACTATGTCGACAATCACCCAGATTGTGGATTATGGTACTCTTTTGAGTCTACCAAGAGCAAGTTTTACTTTGCCAATTCCCAGAAGGCTACTTGCTCTCAGAAACTGGTGATTTACATGTATGATCGTGCATGGACGATCCACCATACAGAGTTCGACATAGTGGAAGAAGGAGAAGTCCCTTTGCTTATGAGCTTGCCACAGATGAGGAACTTAGGCTTTGAACTCAGGCTGACACCTCAACATGCTTATCTGACATCGGTGCCTCTTGGTATCAAATTTTTGGAGTTGAAGGTTGCAGCCAGTACTCATCTTGTGTTGGACTTCCAAGATATTGCATGGTATCTGTCTGACGTGCGTTGGCAGACTCAGCGTGAGAAGAGTTTTTACTCTCACCTCACTCACTATGAATATGGCCATATTTCTGTTGAACACAATAGTGATGAAGGTGAAGCTGAGCATGCATATCCTGTGGTTGATTTCTGGGAAGTAGATGTTCACAAGAGAGAACTGATACGTCACCACAAGGATTACAGGAAAATTCTTTTCCCAGCAACTAAGTCCTGTCCTGTAGACACTGACTTGCTGGAAGACTTGCGACTGACAATCATCAAGAAGAAAGCAGGAGGAGAAGAAATCAAGAAGACAGATGATTGGCGCAAGGCAAAATGGAAGGACCTACAACTTGGCTATGAATGGCGTGGTAGAACAATTTTTAAATTTAAGCCAGATGCCAAAATTCCAGATCTAAAGATCAGGAAGGCTGGCATTGAGCACCGTGGCATTGGTGATCCCGATGCAGTGGTGCGCTCCTCCTCAGAGAAGGTTCCCATTGCAAAGGACAGGGAACCAGGCTTCTCGTCAGAGAAGGAAGGTGCACCAGCCAGTGCCGCGGAAAAGCCCGTGCCGCCAAAGTTTCGGTATACTTCCAAGGGTTTTGATCCATTTTGGAAGGGACACAAGTCAAAACCATCTGAGCCTCAAAATGATTTAAAGGGTGATGATCTTGAGGAGTATGCTCCCTCAGAACCACCTGAGAGGCCAGAAGGTGAACTTGTAGAAATTCCTAAAGCATCAAAAGGACCATCAAGTGATAAACATGAACCACTTGAACCAGGTGATGGCGCTCTTGAGCCTAGGCGGATTTCAATCCCATTACCTGGTAGTGAAGTTGTTGCAATGACACCGGCATATAGGAAGATGTTACAGAGACTGGAGGACAAGGTAGAGCTTTATAAGCTTCATGTGAAGCACTACCATATGAGTCCTACTCAGTTTCGTAGACGTGTTTCTATGTTGAAGCTTCCTGACTCTGTTTTAGAGAAGTATGAATCGGTTGTCAGGAATTGCCGTGTTTGTAACACTTCAGTGGCACCTCCGCCACGAGCCAGAGTCTCCGGTATTAGAGCTTCATGTTTTGGTGATGTTGTTTTTGCTGATCGTTGTGAGGTTGAACTTCACAAGAACAAGTATATCATTCTACTTGTTCTTGATGGTGCCACAAATCTTCTCTGGGCTACGGCACAGAAAGACCTCATAGATCAAACCACCATCCAAGCATTGAGGCAATGGTCTGATGAGAACAACTGTGTTCCAAAGGCCATCGTAGGAGACGAAGCCTTTTTCACCGATGCTTTTGTTGAATACTACAGGTTCCATGGTATACAACAATGTCCTTGTGGGCCAAGAACTCCTTGGCCGAACCGAGCAGAGACAGCTGTACGTTTGTTCAAACGTATGTGGCATGTTATGAAGGTAGATCTAGATGACCCACGTTTTCGTGGTGTTACGGTCAGAGAAGTGGTCAAGAAGGTAGTTTGGGCAAGAAATTGTCAGTTGACTATCAGTGGATATTCACCAATAGAGATAGCAACTGGAAGACGTCCACCAGATCTTTTTGACCTTGAGACCGCAAGCCCTGAGCAATTGTCAGCTAATGCCGCCGCACAAGATCGTACAAATTTGGAACTACAACGTGTGGCTTTGAGAGCTCATCAAGAAGCACGACAAGCTCAGGACCTTCGAGCAGATCTTGCAAGAAGGACTATGCCAAGCGACGGTCCTTATTTCCAAGGAGAGAAGGTTTTTATTTGGACTCAGGATTCATCAAAGTTCAAGGATAAAGGACGTTGGGTTCGTGCCACAGTACTTGGACAAGAAGGAGCTATGGTCCAAGCCAACACTGGTAAGGCAGTGGTACGTGTGAATCAGTCAAAGGTTAGACGTGATCACGATGAGTGGCATGATGTTTCCATACCGGCATTAGACGATGAGAATCCGGAGAACTTACGTGAAGATCACGAACTGTATGTTGATGCCGAATTTGGAGAACAGTCCTTTTTCTTCTGTAATGATGATCATCCTGATGTTGTTGAGTTACTTCATGGAAACAGTGGATTATCTTGGTTCCTTTCAAAGAATGGTGTTAAGGTTGCATCTCCTATGGATTTCAAGGCAGGATACAACTTTTCCACTATGAAGGGTCAAGATGGTATTTGGCAGCAACTGGAGAGATTGCAGCCCCACTGTATAGTGATCAACAACCCTTCTCCCAAACAGAACAGAGCTTCTATTTGGTTGCTATGTTGTAATGTGATTGAGTGGCAGTTGAGAAGGAAGAAGCATGTGTTTGTGACTGTTCCCAAAGGAAACAAGTTTTGTCTGTTTTTGCAGAAGTTCATTTCTTCGTTGAAGAATCCGGTCTTTACCTTTGATGTGAATATGAATTGTTTTTGTTATTG